CCGCGGAAGAGGATCGCATTGTCGCAGAAGCGGCACTAGCCCATTTCTATCACAACCTGCGGTATGCGCCATGAGTTCGAATCCTGACCCTATTCTGTCTTCTGAACGGCAGGAACGAGCGCTAGAAATTCAAACGCTGAGCTTTAGTGTTCAGCAGGGCAAACAACCTGTGCAACAGATCCTCAAAGATTTGACATTGCACGTAAATGACAAAGAGTTCGTCAGCATTATCGGGCCGAGTGGCTGCGGCAAAAGCACATTGCTGAATTTTATTGCCGGTTTGCAAGAGGTGCAATCCGGCTCAATTACCCTTGCCGACAATCAACACGGCGTGGGGCGAAGCCTCGGTTACATGTTCCAGCAGCATGCGCTTTTGCCCTGGCTCACGGTGCAACAAAACGTGGCGCTTGGATTGGACATCGCTGGAGTTGCACAGTCGGAGCAGCAGCAGCGCACCAGCAAAATGATCGCTGAAATGGGTTTGGCGGGTTATGAAAACCATTTTCCTTCACAGCTTTCAGGCGGCATGTGTCAACGCGTCTCACTGGCTCGTACGCTGGTGACCAATCCCGAGCTGATCTTGATGGATGAGCCTTTCGGCGCCTTAGATGCGCAGACGCGGATGTTTATTCAGCAAATGTTTAACGCCTATTGGGAAGACCACAAAAAAACTGTGCTTTTTGTGACCCACGATTTGGCTGAAGCCATTTATTTGTCAGATCGCATTGTAGTGATGGGAGCACGCCCTGGTCGGGTGGTGGCTGAGTACGAAGTAAATATTCCACGGCCACGAGACTTTGACTCAATGCGTACGTCGCCAGCATTCAACGCCTTACACAATGCATTATGGCAAGAAATTAAAACTTACACGCGGTTGGGAGGTATGGCGTTATGACGGATAAGCAGCGTATTCGTCTGATGCAGTGGACACTGCTGATAGGTGGATTACTGGTATGGGAAGCCGGTGTGCATGTGCGTTGGTTTAATCCTTTCTGGGTTAGCAGCCCAAGCCTGTTATCAGAAGCATTTTTAAGTTCACTGCGCGAAAACAGCATC